CCGCCCCACGTGTCCCCCTCCCTGCTCCCCTTTTTCCTGCAGGTACCACAACGTGGGCATCCTTGTGCTCTTCCTGCACGACATCAACGATGTGCAGCTGGAATTCACCAAGCTCAACGTCTACTTCAAGCACCGGGGGGGAGTCTATCATCGCCTCAACGATGTCATCTCCAACGTCGGCTGCCTCACCTTCAGCGTCAGCTGGTGAGCGTGTCTGCCTGATCCCACTTCCAACCGTCCTCGCCAGCTTTTGTAAAACCCCCGGTGCCTCGGGGTGCAGCCGCCTGGGTTTGTGCGCATGGGAAACGAGCCCCTTTCAAAAACTGTTTGGGAAGAGGTTCCCGCAGAGCCTGACCCCATGCTGGGCTTGGAATCCTTCTGTAGTCACTTTGCCGTCTGTCACCGCAGAAGTGCCTGTGAAATCTCGATTGCGGCATGACAAATGACCCCAGGGGAGGAGGACCTGTTTCCATTTTCCCACTCGCTTGGTTTTAGCAGTAAGAAGCGCTTTTGCAAGAAGGAAACGGGAGGTAGGGCTGTCCCAGATTCCGGTCTTGCTATTCCTCTTGGGGCAGGGCAGGAGGAAAAAAAGAAAGATGAAGAATAGAGATGGGTAACTCGCAGGTTGTCACTCCTTGTTTTTCCCTTTGTCTCCTTGCTCCCTCTCCAGGGGCTGCTCTGAAAAGCAGGGGTGGCAACAAGAGCCCTCAATTTGAGGGGAGGAAAGCCGCGAAGGTTTCTGGTGATAAACCAGGGATGTGCAGGACTAAGAAAGCCTTCCAGCTGTATTCCCTTCCTGTCCCCCATCCAGCTGAGAGAATCTGCAGTGTGGACCTGCCTCCCTGCCCCGAGAAAGCCCTTTCTCTGCCCTGCCTCTGGCGCCAAGCCTTTTCTGCCCACAGAAACTGTATTCTCCCTTCAACAGCCGCCCTTTGGCGGGGTCTGTGTGAAGCCCCGTCTAGAGCCAGAGCCGTAAACCCCAGCCCGGTCCGAGAGCAGGGACTGCCCGGGGAGCTGGGGGGCTGCCCGGAGGCAGGGGGTTGTGCTGGGGGAAGCTGCGCTGGGTCTCACGCCTCTCCCGGGGTCCCCGTGAGCCCCTAAACCCACCCTGCTCCCTCTGCCCTGGCAGGTTCTGGTTCCGTCTCTACTGGTTTCCCCTCAAGGTGCTCTACGCCACTTGCTACTCCAGCCTCCAGTCGGTCCCTAATATCCCCTTCTACTTCTTCTTCAATGCTCTGCTCCTCATCCTCACTCTGATGAACATCTACTGGTTTCTGGTGAGTGGGGTGAGCTCGGCAAGCCCTACACTGGCTGCTCCCCGCTCTGCGGCTCCCGTGCCCGCTGCCTGTCTGCCTTG